TTTGCGCGACCCAGGGACTCTAAAAGGGAAAAGCACTTGGAAAGAATTTGCAGATGTGATTAAGGTGATTAATGCAATTAAGGTTAAAAACCTTGAGATGGGGAGATGATTCTGAATTACCTGGGTGGGCCCAGTAGCATCACTAGTCTTTAAAAGCATGAACATTTCCCAGCTGCAGTTAGGAAACTGACTACCGAAGAGGGTCAGAGAGATGTAATGGTGCTGGCTTTGAAGATGGAGGGGCGCCCGAGCCAGGGAATGTGGGCGGCCTCTAGAAGCTGGAAAAGGCAAGGATTCTCCTCTAGAGTCTTCAGAAAGAACACAGGCCTGCTGACATCCCAGTTTTAGCCCAGTGAGACCCACATTGGACTTCTAACCTACGAAACTGTAAGAGAATAATTTTGTGTTATTTAAGCCACGTTTGTGGTAATTTGTTACAGCAGCAATAGAAAACTGATACATGCTCATACTGCTGGAAATGCAAGTCTCATCTTTTCAGACAGTATCTATTGTCTCCCACGAGCCGTGACGAACTTATATTATCTTCTCTTCCCCATACTTTGGCTCTTGTCTCCTGTTTTAGTTCATCATCTTTCTTATATCTTTTTTATTTTATTTACTAGGTTTAAATGGTATTTCTTGTTTTTCACCAAGATGAAACCAGTGTACCTACACTCCCTCCCTCCTTCTCTCTCTTCCTCTTTTCAGCTTCTTCCCTTATATTCTTTTTACAGTAGCTATTCCCTTTTGGGGTCCCTGGGTGGTGCAAATGGTTAAGTGCTTGGCTACTAACCAAAAGGTTGGTGGTTCAAATCCACCCAGAGGGGCCTCGGAAGAAAACCCTGGCAATATATTTCCCAAAGATCAGAGCAATTGAAAACCCTTTGGAGCGCAGTTCTACTCTGACACAGATGGGGTCACCATGTGTCAGAATCAGCTCGATGGCAATTACCGACAGTGGAATTCTTCACAGGGTTTATATTATTTGTATTATGTTCTATGACCAATCTCCCACCCCCATTTAAGATTTGTCCCTACAGAGATACAGATCTTCACCCCAGTCCTTTTGGTGTAGATTTCCATTCATCTGCCTAAAGTTTCTCCCCTGGTAGTCTCTGTGAGTGCTCAAGGGAATGGCAGCCCCGAGTTTTTGCCTGCTCAGAGCTGTTTACATGCTGCGCTGCCTACACTCAGGCGCCCTCGTCCTCCCATTAGGACCATGTAGACATTGTTTCATCACCTTCCAAAGTTGGATGTCACTGGGGCAACCCAATTTTTCTCCTCTTAAGAGTCTTGATCCTTTTGCCTGGATGCCCAAAGGGTTTCTTTCCATCTTTGAAATCCAGTGTGAACTTACTGTGTCAATTTATCCTGGGGCATGGAGTGCCCTTCATTCTTTTATGTCTGCCAAGCTTTTTTTTTTTTTTTAAATACGTTGAAATATTTGCTCTGCTCCATTATTCTCCTTTTATTCTCCAGAGCTTCCTTTCCATGATGGGGGAGCTCTCTGAAGTGCCCAACCCGATGGGGGGGGGTCCAGTGCCAGCCTCTGAGGACCTGCGATGGGCGTGGGGGTGGGGGTGGGGGTGTCAGACTCCCAGGCTTCAGCCGGGGCCCTGAGGCCCCAGAGGCTGCCCTGGGGTTGGCTCCCCATCTGTGCTTCTGCTTTGATTTCTCTCCTTTCTGGACTGGGGTTTCCCCCTCTTTCTCTTAAGCTGCGCTCAGCATTTCTTATATTTTATCTGGTATTTCTGTGTTTGCAGCAGAGTGGTAGGTAGGTCAGCCCAGTCTAATCCGTCACCAGACATTGGCTGGAACCTTGTCAGTGCGGTTCACTGCTGAATCTCAGGTACCCATTGCCATCAAGTCAATTCCAACTCACAGTGACCCTGTAGGACAGAGAACTGTCCCATAGGGTTTCCAAGGAGTGGCTGATGGATCTGAACTGCCAACCTCATGGTTAGCAGCCAAGAGCTTACTGCACCACCAAGGCTCCGAATCTCAGGTAAGGGATCAATAAATATCGATTGGATACATGAGAGAATTAATACAAGCTTACCATTTATATTCTCAGACAACGCTTAGTAAAAATAGGTTCCTGGGTGGTGCAAACCGTTTGTGCTCGGCTGTTAATCAAAAGGTTGGTGGTTTGAACCCCCCCAGCAGAGCCACGGAAGAAAGTCCTGGTGATCTGCTTCTATAAAGATTACAGCCAAGAAAACTCCACGGAGCAGTTCTACTCCGTCACATGCGGTCACTATGGGTGGGAATAGAATCGATGGCAATAGTTTTTTCAGGAAAGAAAAAGACCCAAAGCAGCTACGTGCGTCAAGTAGGAACTGTGTGAGCCTACAGAAAACCACAGCACATATAACAGAAAGAAAGAAGGAAGGAGGAGAGAGGGAGGGGAACAACAAAATTCTAGAGCTTGCATCCACCTCCCCTGGGGGGGAAAGGTCAGGGTACCCTGGTCCTGTGGTGGCCCCAGGCAGGTAAGCCTGTTCCCTGCCCGCACAAGCTCTTGAATGGGCCCTGAGCGTCCCGGCCTGCTAGGTCGTGGAGCCCGAGTGGATGTCCTGGAGGCCTGTGCCCAGCCCCCAGGGCCCCTCAGTTCACCTGCGGCCAGGCAGACAGCTCCTGTGGACGCTGAGCGCTCCCCCTTCAAGCTGCCACAGCTCCCTGAGGGCCTCTCAGGCTGAGGCCTTCTCAGAGCGGCCCGAGCCTGCCTGGACCGTTTCCTCCACATGTGGACTGGAGAACGCGCAGAATGGAGGGGTGGCTGAGACATCCTCTCAGGACCTCGACGGGGGATAGGAGGGCTGCCCCAGGGCAGACGGGAGCCCCTTTGGTCCTTGGGGCACAGGCAGTGGCGTGACCAGTTTCTGGGTCCCAGGTTCTGGGCCGGAGAGGCCAGAGGTTGATGGCAGCTCCTCCCTCAAGTGTGGTAACAACTGTCGTTTGTTGAGTGCCAGTCAGGCAACCCCCCATCCCCCACCATGAGAGCAGCCCCACAGCGGGTGGCTGGCGGCCCAGCAGCCATGCTCCCCCATCGCCTTAGTTAACAGGACCCCACTGTTCTCCAGGGTGGCCGTGGGCCCAGTGCAAGCCCTGCATTTCCCAGCTTCCACCACAGGCAGGAGTGGCCCCACACTGATGCCGGCTAGATGTGAGGGGCAGCGTGGTCTGTGTCTCGCCTGCAGGAACCCCAGCAGCCATCTTGGACCGTGAGGAGAGCGTGGGGTGCAGGGGGGCAGGAAGAGGACTTGTCCTCCTGACAGCATGGTGGGGCACCAGTCCCCCAGGCCACTGCCTCTGGACTGCTTTTCTGTGAAAGAGAAATACATTTCTATCTTGTTATTTGACCTTCTCTACCCTAGACCACAGGGTCCATGTTCATGAAGAGTACTATTTTTATGTCCAGTACATACATATAGAAACTGAGGCTCAGGGGAAGATGCCCAACGGACAGCGGGGGTTGAGACAGGAATTTGTCAGAACGAGAATCTCTGAGGGCAGCTGGGAGGACTCCATGGGACGCAGTGTGGAATGTCTGTGGCTTCGTGCCAGCTGGAGGAAGTGCCTGGTTGGTGGCTGTCATGGACTGAATTGTGTTCCCAAAAAATATGTGTCAACTTAACTAGGCCTTGATTCCCAGTACTGTGTGATTGTCCATTTTGTCATCTGATATGATTTTCCTGTGTGTTGTAAATCCTACCTCTATGATGTTCATGAGGTGGGATAGGCGGCAGTTATGTTAATGAGGCAGGACTCAATCTACAGGATTAGGTTGTATTTTAAGCCAATCTGTTTTGAGATATAAAAGAGAGAAGCAGGCAGAGAGACATGGGGACCTCATACCACCCAGAAACAAGAGCCAGGATAATAATGCGTCCTTTGGACCCGTGGTCCCTGTGCTGAGAAGCTCCTTGACTGGGGAAGACTGATGATAAGGACCTTCCCCCAGAGCTGACACAGAGAGAAAGCCTTTCCCTGGAGCTGGCACCCTGAAATTGGACTTTCAGCCTCCTAGACTGTGAAAGAATAAACTTCTCTTTGTTAAAGCCACCCACTTGTGGTATTTCTGTTAGAGCAGCACTAGGTGACCAAGACAGAGGCCACAGCCACTGTCTCCTCCAGACCTGTGGTCTCTTCTTGAGGCTGGGCCACCCTGAGGCCTTGTGTCTGACACAGGCAGGCACCCTGGTGGGGAAGACCCTACTGGGCGGAGGGCTTCTCCTCTTAGGCAGAGGAATCCGCTCCCTCTCCTGCAGAAAGCCTGCGTCACCATCCCCCCCACCTCCTCGGCATGAAAGGCCAGCCACTCCTGCAGAAAGGAACAGAGGTTTATTTGCAGTAAAAACCGTGGTTTGAAAAAACCCATTGGCAAATGTACAGTTTGTGTTCCCTTTGGGGCAGCCGCAGGCTGCGGGAACCTCCATCCCTGAACCGCATGCATCGGGCTCCTGTGTTCACAGCTAAGTCCCAGGCCCCAACCCCAAGCTACTGCAGGGGCACCCCTCCTCCTGCCGCAACCACCGCGCCCCAGCCTTCCCCAGCCCTCCTTCCATCCTGGTCAGTGCAAAAAACAAACAAAACCAAATAAAAATTTTAAAGCAAAAATTTCACAAAAACGAGGGCTCTACTTTTTTTTTCCTCAGTACCCTTCGTTATCATGATGACTTGTGTGAGGAACTAAAATATACATCATTTCCTTGCTATTATAAAATCTTTTCCTATTGTTCACAGGTATATAATGGGGGATTTGGATGAAATAATTACAAACTTTTTCCCCTTAAAAAAACAAACAAGCCAAAATAAAAAAGTTTCCAACAACAGTAAACACAAGGAGGCTGGTCTCTTCCCTGCTCCCTCCCCGCTCCAGTCGGGCCGCTGAGCCGAGGTCACTCGCAAAGTGCTTGGTGCGCCTGACAGATAAGGATCCCAGAACACTCCCTCCAAGGCCAAACTTTGTGCCCTTCTTGCCCCACCGGCCCCAAGCATCTCCCTCACTTCTACAGCCTCTCTAGGCTTTCTTCTCTATCCGCCTTGGTGAGCATCATCTTTCTGGCGCCCCTGCCTCTTCTCCATGCCCCAGGATGAAGGGTGTGTGATCCCAGCCTGGAGGTCACAAGGCTGAGCTCAGAAAGGAACCCCCAGGCTGCAGTGCAGTAACCAGCACCCTCCCCAGCAGGGACCAGCCTCCCTAGCACCCAGCCCTGCCTGGTCCCTCCTCCTCACACAGAGCCATGTAGCTGACCAGAGTGAAAGGGGGCCGCCTGGGGCCCGGGCCTCATAGCAGCTTTGGCATGCAGCTCAGAGGGAGACAGTGTCACTAGGTCTCATGCATCGTGAGGGCAGAGAAAACGGGGTTTGGCCATCCCAGTCAGAGGTCAAAGGCCAGGAGATGCCAGGAAGGGGGAAGAAAGGGGATAGAAGTACCCCCCAAGGGCACTTATTTTGGACTGGCCCTGGGCCTGGTTTACAGGTTGCAGGAGCCCTCTGGAGAAAGATCTGGCAAGAGCTGGAACAGACGTCCTGTGCAAAGGCTGGGAAGACCTTTAGGGACCACCTTGCAGGAACCAGGGAGCCCAGAGGGGTCTGCCTGGGTGTGAGCAATGGAGGGTCTCTTTCTTGGGAGGGATGTGAGCAGCAGGGTCCCAGAGAGGGGAAAACCACTGTTTTCTTCCTGGCCCATTTTAGGGGCTTCAAAATATAGATGTGCCTGGCAGCAGGGCAGGGCAGACACATTCTTGGGATTCGGGGAGGGACTCTCAGGGCAAGGGGTAGGACAGTACCATTGACTGGGCAGTAGGGTCAGCAACTTCATTTTTCCTAAGGCCCCTACCTGAGGGAGGCCCGCCTCGTGGGGTCCCCGCCTTCCCCAGTGCTGAGGACAGTGTGGACATCAAGGGGAAGTCCTGGGAGCCAGGGGTGCCACACAGAACCCCCCTGCAATGCTCTCTTCTTCTATACCCAAGCACAGCCTGGCTGAGGAAGGGTCACAGCAGACAACTGGCCCTGTACCCTCCTGCCTCTCAAGGACCAGAGCCTCGCCTTGGGAGTCAGAGAAAACAGCAGGCAACAGGTGGGCTGAGCAGCCGGGCTGAGCAGGAGGGGCTGGGGCAGTCCTTCCCCATCCCCAGCCCTCCCGGGGACAGCCTCTGCTGCTTAAACCCAGGCTCCTGGACACCATCTCAGCAGGACGGGCAAGCGATGTGCTCTGGCCTCAGCAGTCACCCAGGGTCTGCCTGTAACGCCGTGAGCACCCACCCCCTTGGTGCTCTGGGTGATGGCACCCTCAGCAGGGCTAGCCTAGGTTTCCTCTATGTACAAGTCGCATGCCCTGTGCATGTCACAAGGGCACACTGATGGTGGAACAGTTCACGGTTAGGACACTGAACACCCACCCCACCCCTAGGGCTGCTGAATCCTGGAAAGTTGGCAGGCATTTTCCCTCTGAGTCATGGAGCTAGAGACCGACTTCAGAGCTGGAGCAACTCTTCCGAGAAAATCCGTGAGTCTGGTCCGAGTTCCCGCTGTCATTGGACACCTTCCTCTTCTACATATGTTGAAGGAAACCAGCCAATCTGAAAGAGAAGGCAGGACCACGTATGTGCACGTGTGGTGGCGAGCAGAGGTTTTTACAGATAGGGACGCTTCAAAAGTCCAGTAGACTCAGCCCCCAGACTTCCAGAGTCCTAAGCCAGGACCACCTTGCAGAGTGGCCTTAGGAAAAGCCCTTGATTTATCCAAGAGGGGGAGGGGGTGTCTGGTGGGGCCATGACTCAGGAGTAAGGGAAACCCAGAAATATGCCAGCCTTGACCAGTTTAAGATCATCTTCCCACCTCTGTCTACCAGTCAGAAGAAAATTAAATTCTCTACAGAGGAGAATAACATCATTAAGAGCTCATACAATTTATTTAAGAATTTTTTCTTTTTCTTTCTTTTTTTTAATACACTAGCTTGGCATTCAATCAGGATGGAATAACAAAAACCAGGAGACCATGCAGACAATAGAAACCAGCCCACAGGTAATTCATATGTTGAAGTTATCCATCAGGGAATTTAAAGAACTCTAATTTACATGTTTAAGAAAATTGATAAAAAGGTAGACAAAAGTACCAGAGAAGTGAAATCAGAAATGAAAGAGAATTCCTAGAGCTGAAAAATACAATGACTGGCACTGAGAATTCATTTGAAGAATTCTACAGCAGAGTAGACAAAGTAGACGAGAAGGTAAATAAACTGCAAGATAGGTCAACAGCAAGTAACTAGATGGAAAACTAGTGAAAGAAAACGGTGCAAACATTGGATGGGCCATGGTAAAAAGATCTAACATCTATATGAATGGAACCCTCAAATGAGAAAATGGAGAAGATACATTCTATGCGGACTGAGAAGATTCCAAAACTGATGAAGGATATCAAGCCACATATTAAAAAATCACTACAAATCCAAGTAGAATAAATTCAAAGAAAACCACACATAGGCACATGGTAGTAACACTGATAAAAACTGAAGGCAAGGTAATTTTTTTATATGTAGCTCGAGAGAAGAGCAGAGATACTACCTTCCAAGAGCAACATTAAGATTGTCAACTGACTTTCCTAAAGAAACAATGGAAGCCGGATGACAATGAAATGACATCATCAAAATACTGAAATAAAATACCTGCCAACCTAGAATTCTATACCCAGTGAAAATAACCTCCAAAAAGGAACTCAATACAATTCCCCACAAAAAGGAGCCAGGTCTCCTTGGAGAACTGACTGATTCCTGGGGGGAGAATAACTATATGCGGGAAGTAGAGAAAGCTTTTCCTTATAGAAGAATGCTAATTAGTAACCATAAAAGAAATGATGGAGTTTGAAAACGACTATTTTTCAACCATGATAGAAACAGCTGAATAGGCAAAATTCACCAATGGATGCCACAACTAGCAGGTGAAAATTTCATGAGGAACAGGATATTTACCTGATCTCAAAGTACTGCTCTGTAAATTACTTATTAACTTTACAGTCAATAAGCCTGGCAGATACCACCTTCACCAAGGGATCACAGTTAATATCACAAATAACGGGACAAACCAACATCATGTACCTCCGGATATTAAGCACTGAGAATACAAAACCCCATTATGATTTTTCTACCAAAAATGTATAACCCCAATCTAATCATAAGGAAACATCAAACAAACCTAAACTGAGGGACATTCTGCAAAAATAACTGGTCCATACTCTTCAGAAATGTCACAGTCATGGAAGACAAAGCAGGTTGAGGAACTGTCCCAGGTTAGACAGGTAAACTCAATTCAGGATGCTGGAATGGATCCAGGACCAGCAAAAAATAGCTATTGAAGACATTACTGAGACAATGGTGAAATGTGAATACAGACTGTTGTGGTGAAATGAGTTCCTTTCTAAGGACTTTAGTCTTGGTTCTTTGGAAAAACAGCTTGAGAGATTTTCCCCCTAAACCCTGAGGAGTTACCTTTGCCCTGTTTTTTTCAGCGGGTTTGTTACTTTTGTCCAGGTTTACTGACATTTCCTGGGTAAGCTGTAAACAACTTTTGGTTTGCAATTTTTTGTCTGGTTCTGGACTGCAGCCTGCCCTGTGGTTGGTATGCAACTTGCAGGGATTGGTCAATAGATTATGCAAATGAAGTGACTATAGACTATGCACGTGAAGATACTATAGCCTACTATGCAAATTAAGTGTCTGTGGTCTACCAAGAGGGGATTGGTCAGTACATGGCCCTGGTGGGAGTGCCATGCCTTAAACTTGACAAGGAGTTTGCTTCTATATGCAGCCAACCCCACAGAGATCTTTCAGACAGAAGCAGGAAGAAGCAGAGAGGAGAAAAGGCAAGAAAGAAGAGAGAAGCAGAAACAAAGGAGGCAAGGAACCTCCTAAAAGAGCTGTAACAACACTGGTCAAGGACTGTAACACTGAAGACAGAGAGAGGCCCAGAAGGGGCCCAGTGGCAGAACCAGCAGTGACAGGCCCAGAAGGGGTCCTGTAGCAGAGTCGGTGGTGACAGCACGGCCAACAGAAGCCCATCCTGAGAGAGCTGAGAGAAGGCCTGTCCTGAGAGGGCTGAGAGGGGTGTGCATGGCAGAGAGAAGGGCCTGCTTGCTTGCATGACAGAGAGGAGCTGAGAGAGCTCTCCTGCACTGAAGAAGGGAAGGATGGGCTCTCCTCTTCGGGGAGCCTTCCAGGCTTTGCCTTTGTGTTTCCTGACCCTAATTCCAAGTTGTACCCTGTTACTCCTTTTATAAACCACTTAACTGTAAGTATGGTCTGTGAGTTCTGTGTGGCCACTGCAGTGGATTATCAAATCCAGAAGAGAAGTAGAGTGCTGTGGGAGGGATGGCTGGTGTCAGAATTGGTAAAAAGGTTGGAGAATGGAGGTATGTCTGATCTCCACCTCATGGGAGTCAGCTTTGGGCTGATCCTGGTCATTATCCCCCCTGAAGTTAGACAGGTTCTGATGTCACTACTACCATTTCACAACTGTGGATTAGATAACTGTACTTTATCAAAGTTAAATTTTCTGATTTAATAATCATAATGCATTCATGGAGGGGAATGTTTCTGATCTTGAGCAAAACACACTGAAATATTTAGGGAAAAATCCTGCAATGTACTCTCAAATGGTTTAGGAAAAAATAAGTACGCACACACACACAGAGCAAATGACAAAGTAAATGAGGCATCTTTCACAACTGATAAATCCAGGCATATGGGAGTTCTTTGTACTACTACAACTTTAAGTTTGATATTATCTCAAAACAAAACAGTTTACAATGAGAATATTAAAAAAGGAAAGTGAAATAAGGGTATTTTCAGATCCAACAAAAATGGAGAGAATTTATTAGTAGCAGACTCACACTAAAAAATACACTAAAGACAGGGTACTTCAGGCAGCAGGAAAATGGTCTCAGTGGAAGCCTGGTGATGGAAGAAGAAATCAAGAGCCCTGGGAAGGTAAGCAGGTGGTAAATCTCCATGCACATTAAATGCTTAAAATAAAAATAGTATCATGTGAGGTTTAGAAATATGTAGAATAAACATACATGACAACATTTGTACAAACACTGGAAAGAAAATGAATGTAGTTAAAGTTGTAAGGTTCTTGCATTGTCTGGGAAGTAGTAAAATTACATATTAATGTAAGGTAGTCCGTCTCTAAGAAGTCAAAGGCACATGCTATCCTCTGAGGTAACCACTTAAATAACAGAGAAAGTGTATATCTAACAAACCAATCAAGAGGAGGAGAAGTGGAAGAGTAAAAAAATACTGATTAATCCAAAAGTAGGCAAGATGAGAGAAAAAAATGAGCAATAGCTGTGACAAATAGAAAACAAACAGTAAAATGGTGGGTTTAAACCTCAATAGCCTGGTGATTACACTAAATGTAAAACGACTACATATGCCTATTAAAAGACAGAGATTGTTTATAAAAATCCCATCTGTTTATAAGGAGACAGAAAGTGGAAAGTAATTCATGCCATGCAAACACAAAGAAAACTGGTGCTGCCCTAATAACTGATAGAGCAGACTCTGTCCTACAGGGTTGCCATGAGTTGGGATTAACTCCACGGGGCAGTTCTACTCTGTTCTATAAGGTCACTATGAGTCAGAATCAACTCGATGGCACTCAACAACAACATGGAAAGAAGTACTGTTGGAGATAAAAAGAGACATTTTGTAATGATAAAAGGGTCAAATCAACAGGAATATCTAATAATGCTCTAAACCAGTGCTTCTGAAACCTGACTATCTATACAAATCACCTGGGAAACTGGTTTGATTCAGTAGGCCTGGTGAGGGCCCACGTATGTGCTTATTAAATCACAGCCCCAGGTGCTTCCAATGCTAGTAATCCAAGAACCACTTTGAGAGCCAATGGTCCTGGCTGTCCAGGTCAGCTGCCTAGGACGCAGTGGCCTTCACACTTTTGAATGGCTGTTGGGTGGAAAACAGATCAGATTTGAGGGCTTCCAAGGGGCAGCCTTCATGCTAGGTAGAGGCAGACTGGCATGTGCTACCTGGTAGTGAAATGGTCAGCAAAGGGAGTCATGGCTGACTGGCACACTGTAGCCCAGTGGACCTGCCTCCAGGCAGCTGCAGCACCCAGGGAAGCTGGGCTTGGCCCACACCTGCTTCTCACCACAGTATGGGTTTATTTCTTTATCGGTGGCACACGGAGCTCTGGGACCCTGCTGGGTTGGTGCTGAGAGACTTGGTCAAAGCCAGGAGATCCAGGGCAGTACTGGGATAAGGGGGCCAAGATGCTGGGCAGGGTCTCAGGGTGGACAGGGAAGAGTCATTGGGCCCTCCTAGAGCTTGGAAAAGGTGTATAGGGTGGGAGTGGACGGGACCAAGGTCTTTCCCTGCCCACATCACTACAGTGTAAACTGGGCCTTCAAAAAAAAGGCAGAAGAGTCCAGCAAGGACACCTGGTCCACCTTCGGGCCTGCTCCCTCCCTCCTGTGAGAAAGAAGAATCACTTGTGAGTGATCTGAAGATGGTACACTTGGCCTGCCTCCCTGCAGTGGTCATGAAGGTGGCATGGAACAGGACAGGGGCGAATCAGGCCTGGGTCCAAATCAGATAGTGGGGCTGCTTCCTAGCGCCTAGCGAGACCTCTGCAGCCTCAGTTTCCTCACTGGCACCAGGCTTTTGGGCTGCTGTGTGCATGCAGGGTGACCTCGGTCGGAGGGTCCCTGGGGCACGGCCCTGGCTGTGGTGTGAGCCTGCCCGAGCCCCACTGGGCCCGAGGCCGGGAGGCCACTGCCCTGAGCCCACAGCAAGGCTGGGCCCCGTGTGGTGCCTGCGGGGGCGACCGGTGGCCGGCGCCCACTCACCCGCCCGTTGGCCTCGCCCTTCCACCAGCCCTGGTCCCCGCCGATGCGGCTGTAGATCTTCACCACGTCACCTTCTCGCAGCGAGAGCTCCCGCATGTCCCGGGCGGCAAAGTTGTACCTGGCCACAGCTGTGCCGATGACCCGGGGTGTGAACACTGTAGGGCGACAGGGCAGTGTCACACAGCTGCTGGTGGGCCAGGGGACAAGCTGGTCCTCTCCTCGTGCCCGGCTCTGTGCCCAGAGGAAGGAGGCAGAGCTGAGGACCGAGCCTGAAGATGGTCTCGGACCCCAGGGTGCCCAATCCTTTCTGGTGACCCCCTCTGGGCACAGGGCACCCCTGAGCCCCCACCCTCACTGAAAGGACCATGGGCAGTCACCCCCCATCACTGGGCGGCCACAGGGGTCTGGGAGTACGTGGAGGAAGAGAGCAAGCCGCCCGAAGCTCTGATCATCACAGCGCCCATGGGTCCCCGAATGGCCCTCTATCTCTGGGTACTGGGGTAGAGGGATGAGTGAAGTACCCCAGCCCCGCCTCCTTCTGCCAGGGTACATGGAACTGGACTTGGGGATCTGGCCCCTGATTTCTCCTCTATCCCTAATTCCAGAACCCCAAACCAAACTGGAAACCCAGCTGGAGCCAGCTTGGCCAGGGACCCAGTAATCCTCGCGGGCAGGGGTAATGACTGTGACAAGGGGAAACACAGAGGTGCTGGTGACGCTGCTGGTCTCAGACAGGTGAAGGGGGGGGCTTTGGCTCTGGCAGCGGAGGCCCAGTCCCCCACACACCACCTCCTCCCTGGCTCTGTCCTGGCCACCGGCCCACCGAGGCTGGCCACCACGGTTCTCAACTGCCAGAGACAAAGCTGTCAAGGACCGATGAGGGTTAACAACAGAGAGGCTGGGGCAGTGGGCGTCAGGGTGGGCATGTCCCAGAGGGATCACGGGGAGGCAGCGCCGAGCCCAGACGTGTCCCCAGGTGCCAGCAGCAGCCCTGTCCCGTCTCCCAATTCCCCTCTTCCCTTCTCCCCTCTCCACCCTCCAGGTGGGCTCTGTGGGCAGCTGGGGACGCTCTGGGCCGGGTTGTGGGCAGCTCTGGCCAGCCTCACTGGCACAGGGGCACCCCCCAAGCCGAGCAGCAGCGGTACCTGACCAGAAAGGAGCGGAGGAGCCCTGAGAAGCAAAGCTGAAGCCCTGAGGACTGAGAAAAGAAAAGCTGGAGGAAGCACAGGAAGCTGCGAAGAGGTGAGAGACAGCGTGAAAGGGGGCCGGAGGTGCGTCCACCGCGCTGACAGGCACGCGCGTGACAGGCCGCGGAGCACGTGGGAGCTGGCGGACGGCAGCGGCCGTGGGTCCCACCCGGCAGGCACCCCCTCTCTGCACGCTTTCCTAGCAGCCAAACGGACCAGCTGCCCCAAAGGCGGGCTAGTGCCGGGATTTAAGGACACAACGTGGGCCGAGAGCCCGGCCCCCAGGAGGTGCTGGCTACGGCCAGTCCTCCCTCTCCGGCCCTGCTCTGCCCGGGTGGGCCCAGGGTCCTGCAGTCCCTGTGGGCTGGGGGATGCAGCAGGCTCAGCGGACAGCCTTGGGCAGGAAGGCAGATGCTCTGGGTTCTGGTCCCACCCTGCTCCTAATCTCAGGTGGCCTGGTGGGGGGGCGGTCACTGCCCTGACCTGGGCCTTGGCTGCCCCTCTGTAAACACAGCTATGTTATCCCAGTCTGGCTCCCTCACAGCAGGGTCCCCAGGGCTGGGCCGCAGCAGGCATCTGAGGACAGATGGGACCCTGCCCTGCTCTCCCCACCAGGGGCAACTGCCAGCACGGGGTCTCTGTGTGCACCACCCCTGCTGACCTCTGGGCTGGGGGGCGAGGGCAGAGCAGCAGCTCAAAGCAGGCACTGTAGGTCAGGGGAGTCGGGCTGGACCCTATGCACCCACTTATGAAGGGCTGTGCGACTGTTCGACCCAAGCCCGGCCTCCGGTCTGTCACATGGGGACCACCAGGCACCGAGGCATGGGGTGGGTGCCACTGGACAGCACCCTGATGTGCGGGGTGTGGGGTGGGGGACTGCCCACAACCCCGGGAGTGGGAGTCAGGGAGAGCCCCTGGTCTAGGTCAGCATGGCCCATGGAGGGCTCCAAGAGGGACGGTGGGCAGGGAGAATGGGGCAATAGGAGGTGGCCGAGCTGGTGTTACCTGGGGACCGGCTGGAGGCCCTGCAGGCCACGCGCTCCCGCGACTTATAGGGGTACTTGAGCGTGGTGTCCAGCTGCTTGAAGCTTTCCTTGAGTGAGTGGCACTGGTAGTACTCCACCAACTCCTGCAGGCACACAGGCTCACTGGCTGCTGCTGCCTCCAGGCAGTCCTCCTGCCCCAGTGACCTGGCCCCCCACCTCCTCAGCTCCCAGGCGCCTTCCCCTTCTCCCCGTTAGCACCCGGCCGTGGTGGGCAGTCAACATGGTGAAGCCATCTGGTGAGGCCACCACTCTTCCAAGAACTTTGCTAAAGGAAACCATCAGCCAAGAACGGCAAGACAGGTGTACGTGGAGGTTGGGGCAACACTGTTTACCACGGAAAAACACTGGGGACCACCCGCGTGTCCAGCAAGGGGGATGCACTGCTATAAATGAGGGTGCATCCCAACAAGGTCTCAGCATGGAACGGAAGGCGAGGACTTACCCTACCGGGAATTCTTTTACGTGCGGAATACAAAAGGAGGCTCAACACCAAGTACAGTGCGGCCTGCATTTTGTTTTAAAAAAGTAGATGGAAACCACACCTAAGCTACACTAGAAGAGAGATTATAAGGACTCACTCTGGAACGTTAACATCGGGCTTTTTTTAGGGATGGAGGGGACTCTGGATACTTCATTTTTCTCTGTGCTTTTCTACTGTTGGGCATGTTAAGAGATGCCATATTCAGATGTTCCCAGTGTATGCAACGTTTGTAATTAGAAAAGAAGTAAGAGATATGATTTTAGAATAATTTTTTAAGGACTATGCCTTTAACTGGAACCCTGGTGGTGGAGTGGTTAGGAGCTATGGCTGCTAGCCAAAAGGTCAGCAGTTCGAATCCCCCAGCCACTGCTTGGAAACCCTATGGGGCAGTTCTACTCTGTCCTATAGGGTTGTTATGAGTTGGAATCAACTCGACAGCAACAGGTTAGGTTTTTGGTTTTACGCCTTTAACTGGAGTCCCTAGGTGGCACAAACAGTTAAGCACTTGACTAGAAGCTGAAAGGCTGGCAGTTCAAACCCACCCTCAGAAGACAGGCCTGGTTGTCTGAAAGGTCACAGCCTTGAAAACCCCTATGGAGCAGTTCTACTCTGCACGCATGGGGCCGTCGTGAGTTGGAAGTGACTCTACAGCAACAATAACAATGATGCTTTTAACAGCATTCTGGCTGGGGCAGTGCGGGGAGGTGTTAGAAGCCACATGTGTGAGGTTTCCGGATTTGGCAGGGGGCTCGGTGTGAAGGGCTGCTGGGATGTTGGTGGCCAGGGCGGGCTGGGGCCCCCACGCACTGTCCACGGTGTCAGCCTCAAGGTCAACACCAGGCTTTGGAAGAGAGAAGTCGGAGCTCAGGGACTGTGATTTGGCCTGCACTGTCTGAGATGTCTCACAAACTATTCCCCTAAATCTTCCCCACTCTGGGAAGAATCCTCCCGCATCAGGAAGTGCGGCCCCAGCCTAGGGAATCTGGCCCTTGCAAGGCGACAGTGATGGCGGAGGGGCCACATTCCCAGTGTGGCCCCTGCAGAGAGCTGGGCTGAGCACTCGGGGCCCCTGCCATGAGCTGGGGAATTACCTACCAAGAGGCTTTCGAACTTCTTTGCTTCTGTGATGTGGATCCAACTGTCCTTCTCCACCACCTTGATATGCTTCACCTCGTCATTGAACCTGGGCAGGGTGCACGTGGTCACCGCACAGGCAGGCAGCCCTCGCCCCGCCTCCCCTGGCTCCAGGCTGACGGCACGGTGACTGGAGCAGCCAGCCTCTCCCTTCACCCACCTCCTGACTTGTGGCGGCCCTCTCCACCACCGAGCATCTGGCCGCCCTAGTCTTGACCAGTTTTCCTCAGCCTGGCCACCTGCCTGCTGTGGCCCTGCATGCCTCTGCCCCTCGGCTCCCCCCACCGCTCTGCATCTGGGCACACCTGGCCAGCCTGTGTCTACTGCCGACGTCTCGCCCTTATTGCCAGGGCCCTTTCCGCTCCCAAGTGCCCTGGTTTGGACAATAAATTATAAGCCCAGGCCTTGGGGGAATGGTGGGCTCCATGGTTCGGGGTCTCACTGGGGAGGGGGTGCCTTTGACCCCCGAATTGCCACGTACTTGATGCTGATTGCGAATCGCTCGGCCTCGGCGGGCCGCTCCCGCACCAGGTAGGTGCCGCTGGCGTGGGCCTTGAGCAGGTTGTCCGTCTGCTGCCTCTCCATGTTGCCAGCAAACCTAGAGCGAGGCAGGTCATTAGGGGCTGGGAGGAAGAGCGTGGTAACCATGATGACACCAAAGGACTGTGGAGCCCTGGTTACGTGCCGGCGCTGTGCTAAGGGCTCGTTGTGACTTGGCAGGGCTTTGACCTTCGTAACAAGCCAACCAGGAAGTGAGGCCAGTGCTCATGAGGATGGGCACAAAGCTGAGCAGATCGGATGGACTCAGCAGCACCTGCAGGCCCTGGCACCCCGTGGTCACACCAGGGCAATGACCACAGACGTCGGCCATCCAGGGTCGGTTTCTGCTTCCAGAACCCTAGGACCTGCAAGAACTCTTCAGTACAATGCCAACAGATTAGATTTCTTTCCTAAGATGTATTTGTCACTATTTAAAAAGTAATAACAATATAACATCAGGAGCCCTGGTGGCACAGAGTTCAGTTGCTAACTGAAAGGTCAGTGGATCGAATCCACCAGCCCCTCTGCAGGAGGAAGTTGTGGCAATCTGCTTCCGTAAAGATTTACAGCCTAGGAAACCCTACCGGGCAGTTCGACTCTGTCCTACAGGGTCACTATGAATCAGAAACGACTCAGTGGCAATGGGTCTTTTAATAACATAACTAGTCCCTGGGAGGTGCAAATGGTTAATGCACTTGGCTGCTAACCAAAAGGTTGGGGGTTCGAGTCCACCCAGAGGTGCTTCAGAAGAAAGGTTTGGCTATCTACTTCCAAAAAAGATCAGCCACTGAAAATCCTGTGGAGCACAGTTCTACTCTGACACACACGGGGTCGCCATGAGTCAGAGTCGGCTTGATGGCAACTGGTTTTTTATGTATTCTGTATGTTGCAGCTCAACGATAAGACTGCTCGAAAAAGGAGTTTCGTTCCCCAAATATCTGAACCTGCTGATCTGTTCAGAGACAGGAAACCGCTGCCCAGGAAGAGGATCCCTGGGCTCTGGCCAGTCAGAGCAGACGGAGGGGACACAGGGCTGGGAGCAGAGCAGGGAGCAGTCCGCACTGCCAGCCGAGGGTGGCCTGGGCCCCGGGCCTGTCCCCTCAACTGTGGGGCCACGTCCCCCGCAACGGAAGTGCCGCGTGCACGCCCAAGTCTGAGATCCACTCACCAGGGGTACGCGGTATAGTCAATCTCCCGGGACAGCGGCCGGCTGATGGGTGGCTGGTGGGAGAGAACAATCGTGTTAACGGCCTGCAAGAGGCCATCTGCAAGGAGGGACGCTGTTGTTGTCACCGACCCTTGGGTCAGCACTGGCTGCACGGGACCAGGACTGTCAACTTAGCCCAGCTCCACTGGACCTCGAGGTCCTGAGGGTGGTGGCTCGGACTCACCCACCTCTGACTGCTCACTGGGGAACCCACAGAGTGGGTGCTGGTACACTTGCTCAGCTGAGGGAGGGAGGAGCTGCTAACTAATAAACAGGGTGCTCCATCCACTGGAGGGGGACAGCAGAAGGCCACAGAGTTTCTCTGTGAGTGCATGTAAGTACCCCCAACAGTCCCTGGCCGAGCAGGCAGGCGCGTTTGTCTGTGACAGCTTCCTCCTGGGGGGCTGCATGCAGGCCAACACCCTCCCTGGCCAGAGCCCTCCACTCGGCCTCCTGCTCGCCAGTCCAACTGGGCCACCGCTTGCCATCCAGATGGGGAAACTGAGGCCTAGGGCAGGGAAGGGACTGCCCCAGGCCACCCTGGGAGTTAGTGATCATTCTCCTCTGCTGTCTGGGTCCCCTTGATGTGTCAGCAAAGCCTCTCCCCGTCACCTGGGTGGGCTGACCTCTCAGAAGAAGCAGGTGGACGGGTGTAGGAGGGCTGAAGCCGGCAGGCCCGGGACGGCCAGGATGTCCCTGGTGTTGGGGACCGCCTGCCTGCCTGCGCCTGCCGGGAGTATTTCACATTTTCCACTTGTCTTTTTCTTTTTTTTTTTTTCTGTGGGGCGTGGTGTGCGGGGGAGGTATTCAATTCATTTATGGCCAACTGCCCGATTGCTTTTGTAACAGAGACTAGAGTTTGCCCCACCCCCAGGATGAGAGAAACCCCATGCTGCCTCTTCTCTCAGTATCACAGAGTCTGGCTCTGGGCCCTTCCTTGTAATCATTTCAGCCTCACCCTCCTGGGGGAGCGCTCCCCTCCCTAGGGCTGCGTGAGGGTCTGAGGAGACTCAGAGTCCGCACGGCTGGGAGAAAGTGGCAGTCTGTCTTCATCCCCAACCAACGCTGCCAAGATGCCGCTTTAGCTGTTTGTAAACCCTAACGTAACGCCCTGCCCCTAACGTAACGCCCCTAACGTAACGCCCTGCCCCTAACGTAACGCCCCTAACGTAATACCCCGCCCGATCACCGAACCTTCAGAGAGCACACCCACTGCCCACCCACCGTCAGGGTGCAGAATCTCCCGTCCCCAGCTCATAGCAGCCGCCTAGCAAGGACGTGGAGGGAGGGGAGCAGCCCCTAGCACCCCCACCACCTGGCCACTGCACTCTGGAAGCTCCCGTGGACACTCACCCTTCCATCCACGGGGCAGGGCTTCACAGATGAACTTGGGAAATAACCCGACTTCCTAGTTTGGACCAGTCGACCCTGGAAAGAAGAGGAGATGATCAGGGCACGCCATGGGCTGTTCTCGAGTGCGCTCAGCTTGTCCTAACCCCGTTCCCCAGAAGAATGAGTTACAGCCCAAGCATCACCTCCCTGCTGTGACTTCAGCCGACCTCGTAAATGCTTTGGGCAGAAGGTGAGGGGCATCCCCACTCTGCAGATGAGAAGACTGAGGCCGGGAGAAGTCACGCAGCTCGCTCGGCGCTGGGACTGGAGCCCCGCGTCCCGCATTCTGTCCAGTTCTCTTATCTGCACCGGTGCTTCTCATGAATCCAACAGGTGGACAAAACGCAGGTCCCCCCGGGGGCCTGAGGTGGGCAGAGCCGGCCTTCGCTCTCCCGCCCCTCTGCCTGGACGGCCCTCCCAGCATGCCGCCCCAGCCAGCTCCCCCTCAGTCTCCACTTCCACTGCAGTAAAGTCATCTCTCCAAGACCCCCAGAGAACCCCACCCTGGTCGGGCCTGGGGAGGGGACGAGCGCTGGGCCGCTGGGGGGCGGGCGGAGAGGAGACTGCGTACTTGCACACGCACACCCTCTGGCCTTCTGAGTCTGAAGTCAGCTGAGCTCAGGATCCATCACAATAAACGCTTAGGGCAGCAGGCACTGACAGCGAGAGCGGCAAACCCCGCTGACGGCAACCATCACAGCACACACGCCCATGACTCCCAGCTAGGCTGAGGGCCCGTGGCACCCAAGCTGACCTCCGAGGGTCTCTTGACTTCTAGGGCTCAGCAGAGGTGGGGAGTGGGGTCCAGGGGGGCCGGGCAGACACCTGCAGGGACTCTGCTCTACTATGGCCATACAAAGGGACAGTCAGCTTCGTGGCTCAGAACCCGAAGCCACGTTACACTGATGTGTTCTTCGGCCATGTCTGAGCCCCCGACTAGATGGGGCTTCCTGGGGGAAGGCGGTGGGTGGGTCAGTCATCGTCCGCCAGTGCTGACGCAGGGGAGGGGAGAGGTACAGCCTCGGGAAACGGAGGCAGGAAGCCCTCGGAGGTGGATGGGGAGGGCCTTGAGGACCAGGAGGAGGGGCCTCTCCCGTGACAGCGACGCACTCCACCACGTCTAAGCAAGCACTCCAAGGAAGACGGGCTGGCTCCACCCGGACTTCCACCACAGGAGGGAGCGGAGACGCAGGGCAAGAATGCCCTGATAACCAGCCCCCTCCTCCCATCCTTGGTGGCCTCTCCCCTCAGCCTGCCCCTGCCTGGGGGTGTGAGGGCTCCAGGCTTCCGGCCTGGGGCCCAGGACCCACCTCCCACCACTGAGACTCGGGGTCGCCTCGCAGCAGCTCCATCACGTCACCCGTCTGGAAGGTGAGCACTGGCTTCCCAGGGGGTGCGGGGTTGCCATGGTAATTCTGCACGGCCACCATCTTGGGACCTGTGGAGACGGGGCAGGGGGAGCGGCTCAGTTGATGGCTGCACCGAGGCTAGCGGCCCACCTCCTCACTGACCCCACTGAACTCCTCGGGAGAGGCCACCCACAGACACACGTGCCGGTACCACCCGCCCCCGATTCTTCCCGGGGCCCCCGTGTCGTTTGTTACACAGCACATGTGAATCGTTTATGCGATGAGCAGCCCTGGGCATCACCACGCCAACAGTGACTTTGTCTGTTTTCTCCCCAACACCTCACACCCCTATGACTTCAAGTTGGCTACGTGGAGTAGGAGACGGGGTGCCCCTGTCTTAGTGATGGGGTCACCAGGGGCCAGTGACCAGCTCTGGGGCTGTGTGGGCAGTCTGGGGCTGGCCTCGCTCTGGCCCAACCCTGCCGTGGGGCCCCGAACAGCCCCAGGTTCTCCCTACTCTGTGCAAGTGTAAGCGGCCTGCACGCTGGGCCTCCCCATGGAGGAATCTGTGTTATCAGAGACAAAGGTGACTCCCCACCAGAGGGTTCCCCACACCCCAGGGCCCGCATGGCGACAGCAGTGGAGAGAGCTCAAGTCCCCAGACTCACCTGGTCCCGCTCCTGAGGCGTCCTGTGATGGAAGGACAGATAGGGCAGTGAGGGGGCTGCTTCTGGCTCAGGCCTGACTCCCCACACCCCTCATGCTCCCCAGATTGGAGGGTCAAGGCAGCGGCGGGGGGGAGACACACATCCTGGGCCCCATAGACATTAGGTGACGCATTCTCTGTGTGACAACCCCCTCTGCCTCTGTGCTCCCCGAAGGTCCCTCCTCTTTCCTCTCCCACCTCCTCCAGGAAGCCTGCCCTGATCACCTAGCCCATGGACAGCCCCTCCATTGAGCCTGGGCTGGCCCCTGCCATCGGGACATGCCCTGCCGCCTGAGACGCAGTGCTTTGTGCCTGCCCCCTTCCCATGAGGCATCTCTGTGCCCCACACAGGACCTGGTGAGGGCCCCAGACACTGGTTACTCTGACTAGACCCCACAGCTCAGCGAGAATAAAGCCTACATCCCCTAAACGAATTCAGTGACTTCTCACACAGAGGCAGTGGGGGGCGGGTATACGTCACAAAGCCGGGCACTCAGAGCCACCAGCTACTGGACAAGCTGAATGGGTGAGTGGGCCAGGCAAGGTGATTACAGGCAAGGTGAGGCCGTGCACATGCACAAAGGGAACCAAAAACGCCCCCACCCCTCAGCCCAGCACGGCCCACAAATGAGGAACGCCAAGCAGCAGGATGTTTGGCCCCGGTTCCCAGGGCTGTTGGGGTTCGAGGAGGGGGAGGGGGCAGTTGGGCAGCCTTACCGGGTCTGCAGGAAAAGCTGAAAAGGAAGCACAGTGGGTGTTAGAGGGTGCCGCAGACACCCCGGGGCCGGCTGGCTCCCACAGACAGGTGGGCCATGCTCGTAAGCGGGCAGGGAGCTTCCCTGTGGGGAGCTCAGACATGGGCTGCGGGCACACAGACCTGGGTTCATGGCCAATTACTTCTGATGGCAAACGCTGAGCTCTGGTGTTGGGGGTCACGGCAGAACTCAGACTGGGTGCCAGACCCAAGACGGCAAACAGGTCTGGCTCCATGAGCTGGAGGCAGCCGCGGGATGCAGGGCAGTGCCTGGGCTCAGGGGGAAGATGTCAGTGATTGGCCAGTGATGCCTCGCTGAGTGACAGGGACGGTTGTCCGTGTCCGCCATTAGCACTGGCAGGCCTAAGTAGGTGCAGGCTAACGGCCCCACGATCTCCCCGCCTGCACTGTGCTCCCCCACAGGAGGACAGTGTCCCAGGCTGAGCCCTGGTCACCTGCCAAGCAGGGCCGCCTGGCACCAATGGACACAGTGAGGACAACGGCTCACGTGCGGGGTGACGAGGCCTCAGCACCCTAACACAGGTGCAGACAGAAGCCTCCAACAGACCCTATGTGACTGAGGCAATAAGCTCAACGGACACCTGGGGTTGGGGAGAGGCAGGCGTGCAGCAGGTGTCCCTGCAACAAGGGAGAAGCCTTCCGGGAGGGGTCAGCAGCACTCTGGGACATCAGCTTCTCCTGCCAGGCTGGGCCCCACGGGCAGCAAACAGTGAAACTGCCCTGGAGTCACCGTGGACACAGCCCAAGGCGAGCTCCCGAAGGCTGGCACCCAAACCAGGACGACACGTGAGAGCTGTGTGGGTCAGGAGAAGGCAGCCTGGACACCCTGCACAGGAGGAGGGACTGGGCAGGGCAGAACGTCCCCCGCAGAGGGGCAGGAGGGGAGACAGAGGTGAATGCCCTTGGGGGGGTCACAGGCTCCCTCAAGGCCTGGTGCTCAGCAGAGTTTTAACGGCACGAGGGAAACGAGAATGACAACATGAGCTTTCAAAAGCATACAGAAGTGCCACACAGCAAGATCCCAATGACGTCTTCTAAGAAATAGAACAAAACCGTAGGAAGAGACTGAGTGGGCGAGTGAGCATGTGCTATGGATTGAATTGTGTCCCCGGAAAAATTTATGTTGAGGTCCTAACTCCTGTACCTGGAACGTCAACTTGTTTGGGGTGGCTCCTAACCCCACCTGACTCCTTACAAGAGAGCAGCAGAGACAGAGAGACGGACAGAGGGAAGACAGCGGGATGACAATGGGGTGACGCTGCAGCTGCAAGCCAGGGATGCCTGGGGCCACCAGAAGCCGGGAAAGACAAGGAAAGATCTCCCCCTGGAGCCTCCAGAGAGAGCAAGTCCCTGCGGATGGCCCAATCTGGACTTCTGGCCTCCAGAGCTGAGAGAATACACTTGCGCGCCTTTAAGCCGTCTCGGACAGTAAGGTTTTATCTTCTCATTTACACTTCTCTGTTCGTGTTAGGTGATGTCGAGTCGGTTCCCACTCATAGCGACCCTGTATACAACAACGAAACACAGCCCGGTCCTGCGCCATCCTCACAATCGTTGCTATGTTTGAGCCCATTGTTGCAGCCACTGTGTCAGTCCATCTCGTTGAGGGTCTTCCACTTTTTCGCTGACCCTCTACTTCACCAAGCATGGTGTCCTTCTCCAGGGACTGGTCCCTCCTGATAACATGTCCAAAGTATGTGAGATGAAGTCTCACCATCCTCGCTTCTAAGGAGCATTCTGGCTGTACTTTGTCAAGGCAGATTTGTTTGCTCTTTTGACAGTCCATGGTATATTCAGTATTCTTTGCTAACACCGTAATTCAAAGGCATCCATTCTTCTTCCGTCTTCCTTATTCATCATCCAGCTTTTGCATGCATGCATATGAGGCAATTGAAAACACCATGGCTTGGGTCAGGCGCACATTAGTCCTTAAAGTGACATCTTTGCTTTTTAACACTTTACAGAGGTCTTTTGCAGATTTGCCCAATGCAATATGTCCTTTGATTTCTTGACTGCTGCTTCCATGGGTGTTGACTGTGGATCCAAGTAAAATGAAATCCTTGACAATGTCAATCTTTTCTCCGTTTATCATGATGTTGCTGACTGGTCCAGTTGTGAGGATTTTTGTTTTCTTTATGTTGAGGTGTAATCCAGACTGAAGGCTGTGGTCTTTGATCTTTATCAGTAAGTGCTTCAAGTCCTCTTCACTTTCAGCAAGCAAGGTTGTGTCATCTGCATATCGCAGGTTGTTATTGAGTCTTCCTCCCATCCTGATGCCACGTTCTTCTTCATATAGCCCAGCTTCTCAGATTATTTGCTCAGCATACAGATTGAATAGGTATGGTGAAAGCATACAACCCTGATGCACACCTTTCCTGACTTCAAACTACGCAGTATCCCCTTGTTCTGTTCCAACGACTGCCTCTTGATCTGTGCACCGGTTCGTCATGAGCACAATTAAGTGTTTTGGAATTCCTATTCTTCCCAATGTTATCCATAATTTGTTATGATCCACACAGTTGAATGTCTCTGCATAGTCATTAAAACACAGGTAAATATCTTTCTGGTATTCTCTGCTTTCAGGCAAAATCCATCTGACATCAGCAATGATATCCCTCATTCCATGTCCTCTTCTGAATCTGGCTTGAATTTCTGGCAGTTCCCTGTCAATGTATTGCTGCAGCCACTTTTGAATGATCTTCAGCAAAATTTTACTTGGTGTGATATTAATGATATTGTTCAATAACTTCCATATTCTATTGGATCACATTTCTTCGGAATGTGTACAAATATGGATCTCTTCTAGTTGGTTGGCCAGGTAGCGGTCTTCCAAATTTCTTGTGTAGACGAGTGAGCACTTCCAGAGCTGCATCTGTTTGCTGGAACATCTCAGTTGGCATTCCGTCACTTCCTGGAGCCTTGTTTTTCACCAATATCTTCAGTGCAGCTAGGACCTCTTCCTTCAGTACCATCGGTTCCTGATCATACGCTACCTCCTGAAATGGTTGAACATCGACCAATTCTTTTTGGTACAGTGACTCTGTGTATTCCTTCCATCTTCTTTTGATGCTTCTTACATCGTTCAGTATTTTACCCATAGAATCTTCCAATTTGCAACTCGAGGCTTGAATTTTCCCTCAGTTCTTTCAGCTTGAGAAATGCTAAGCATGTTCTTCCCTTTTGGTTTCCTAACTCCAGGCCTTTGCCCTTTACTTTGTCTTCTCGAGCCGCCCTTTGAAATCTGTTCAACTTTTTTACGTCATCATTTCCTCCATTTGCTTTAGCTACTTGAAGTTCAAGAGCAAGTTTCAGAGTCTCTTATGGCTTCCATTTGGTCTTTTCTTTCTTTCCTTCCTTTTTAATAACCATTTCAGGTATGATGTCTTTGATGTCATTCCACAACTCATCTGGTCTTCAGTCATTAGTGTTCAGTGTGTCAAATCTACTCTTGAGATGGTCCCTAAATTCAGGTGGGATACACTCAAGGTCGTACTTTGGCTCTTGTGGACTTGTTTTAATTTCCTTCAGCTTCAGCTTGAACTCACATATAAGCAATTGATGGTCTGTTCCGCAGTCGGCCCCTGGCCTTGTTCTGACTGATGATATTGAGCTTTTCCATCGTCTCTTTCCAACAATGTAGTCGATTTGATTCCTGTATATTCCATTTATGTTGTTGAGAGAAGGTGTTTACAATGAATAAATCATCGGTTTTGCAAAATTCTCTCACGTGATCTCAGGTGTTGTTCTATGAGCAAGCCATCTTCTCCAACTACCGACCCTTGTTTCCGACGTTCCCGTAACAATCCAAAAAAACTTGTAAAAAAATACATCAATAATTATCAACGCATCTTGATTGCATGTTTGATCACTTTTAGACTGCAGAAGTTGGTAAAAGTCTTTAATTTTTTCATCTTTGGCATTAGCAGTTGCTGCGTAAATTTGAATAACAGTCGTATAAACTGGTCTTCCTTGTAGGTGTATGGATGTTAGCCTATCAGTGACAGCATTATACTTCAGGACAGAGCTTGAAATGCTCTTTTTGACGATGAATGCAACGTTATTCCTGTTCAATTGGTCACTCCTGGCATAGTAGACCATATGATTGTCTGATTCAAAACGGCCAATACCAGTTCATTTCAGTTCACTAATGCCTAGGATATTGATCTTCAAGTGTTCCATTTCATTTTTGATGACTTTCAATTTTCCTGGATTCATACTTCGTACGTTCCACATTCCTATTATTAACGGATGCTTGCAGTTGTTTCTTCTCATTTTGAGTCATGCCACATCAGCAAATGAAGGTCCCATAAGCTTGACTCCATCCATGTCATTAAGGTCGACTCTACTTTGAAGGGAAACCCTGTTGGTGTAGTGATTAAGAGCTACGGCTGCTAACCAAAGGGTTGGCAGTTCAAATCCACCAGGTGCACCTTGGAAACCCTATAGGGCAGTTCTACTCTGTCTTATAGGGTTGCTACGAGTTGGAATCAACTTGACGGCAATGGGTTTTTTTGGATTTTCTACTTTGAGGAGGCAGCTCTTCCCCAGTTGTATTTTGAGTGCCTTCCAACTGAGGGACTCATCTTCCGGCACTAGATCAATGTTCCGCTGCTATTCATAAGGTTTCACTGGCCAGTTTTTTCAGAAGTAGACTGCCAGGTCCTTCTTCCTAGTCTGTCTTAGTCTGGAAGCTCTGCTGAAACCTGTCCACCAAGGGTGACCCTGCTGGTATTTGAAATACTTGTGGCAGAGCTTCCAGCATCACAGCAGCACATAAGCCAGCACAGTACAGCACACTGACAGACGGGTGGTGGTTACGCTTCTCGACACTTTCCGAATCTTCTATGGGAAATGGGTATTTCATAAATCAGAAAGAAAAAAAAAACTCGTAAAGAAATATATCAAACTATTGCCTTTGGTTATTTCTGGGATAAATTCACAGGTGATTACTTTCTCCTTTACTTCATTTCTTCTCTTTTCTCCCGTTTTTGATAACTAAGCACGCTTTTAGTCCCTGGGTGCCACAAATGGTTGAGGGAAGCTTTTCATTCTCCCAGAATCCAGATATCTGGGGTCCATGGAGTTGGGGTGACCCACCCAGGCCACTGCCCTGAGGCGACTGTTTGAACTTGAGCCTTGAGCAGACTGGTCTAAAATCACCTTTAAGTCAAACAATAGTCTTGCTAATTAGTAAAGACCATTTTGCCTTGGGCACTGCGCTTTTTTGAAGAATTATCTCCGTGCAGTCTGTTTTGAGGGCCTAACTAGAGGCTCTGTTTTAGGATAAATTCTTATTGTGTAAATACTCTTCTGGCCCTTCCCCAGGGAGATGTTGGTGAGATGCGGTATGAGAATCTTTGGATGTTCTCTCATCTTTGGAACACCGACTCGGTAGTTGGGCATGTTGCCCAACTTGCAAAGCGTATATTCAATAAACTTCAAATCAATTCACATCACTGGGTTAATATGATTTTTGTTTTAACATGGTTAAACACTTCACCACTATCTGTAAGGTTGGTGGTTCAGGCCCACCCAGAGGTGCCTCGGAAGACTGGCCTGGTGATCTGCTTCCAAAAGGTCATGGCCTTGAAAAACCTATGGAGCAGTTCTACTCTGCACACGTGGGGTCACCACGAGTCGGAATCGACTCGACAGCAACCACCACCACCAACTTTTAGAGTTGGGGAAAAAACTATCTGAAGAAATTCACGGGGAAAAGTTGTGGACAGAGAGGCATGTGGCCACAACGGGGCGGTGTTGACACGGGAAGCTGAACCGCAGCTCCGGCCACAGGCTCCTCGTGTCTTCCAGGTCAGAGGAGACATGCAGGGACACTGCCCAGGGTCTGGGCTGGCCTGTCGGACCCTCTCCTGGAGCCGGATCACTGGGCCAGCCCTCGTAATCACAATAAATGGGAACTACTGATCTATGGATCACGGCTCGGTGTCTTCTGTTCTGGTGGCAGATGCAGAGTGACGAGCAGTACTGTCTCGTTTTTCTGTCTTACGATCTGGCCAGAGGCCCAGTAAGACAGAGCCCAGAGACGGGGACCTGGGGGATAGGCGGGCCATTCTCTGAACGAGGCTCCACGATGTTCAGGCTGAGAAAGATGCGGCAGACTGCTTCCATAAAGATTAACCAAAAAAAACCAACCCTAAAGCTCCCCACGTGTGGTCGTTCTGTCACAGCAGTGCTAGGAAACCATGACCCGGGCTGATGACAGCGGAGACAGTGACGCTGCCTGAAGCCGTCACGGGGCTAAAGGAGACCCTGTGGGGCCCCCCTGCAGCAGAGTGGGGGCCACCGTCACTACATTCAGGCTGTGTGGCCCTGGTCCCCACGGTGAAGAGCGAGGATGCTGGGCCAGCCGGCCTGGGTGAGAACACTGTCTCCATTAGAGCTGCGGGAGCTGGACCGGGCCACGGCCTCTGTGGGCGCGGCGCTCCACAAGTCACTGGCTGGGTGGCAATACTATTGCACGGGGCGAGGTGGGGGTCTGCGTCACCCACCTGAGTCACGGGGAGCAGAGCTGGGCCCTCAGGGGCGCCCTCGCCTGTGCTCTGTGGCTGTTCCCGGGACCACACCCTCAATGCCTCTGGGGCTGTGCCCTTAGAATAAGCCCCTCGGTGGTGTCTCCACCCCTGGTGTCACTCTCCCAGCCCCTGCCGACTTCCTCCTTCCGGCTAATTTGGGCTGCCCGCCTGCTGTTGTCTGGACCCCTGCTTATCCAGGCAGGTCCAGCTGGTTCACCTCGCCTCCCATGCAGGAGCCGTGCATCCTCTAGAAAATCCCAAATGCACCCCCAAATTAAGATGACTCCGAGATGCCCAGGGGTCTGGGTGCCTTCCAGGCCTCTGCTCACGACCTGCCAGGCTCAAGTCCCTCCCCGTCCCTGAGCCTCAGTCTTACACATCTGACAAACGGGCATGAGGAGACATAAAATGCTGTGTGTGTTAACCCATTGCCTTTGGGTTGATTCTGACTCGTGACGACCCCATGTGCTGCAGAGTATAACCATACCCTATAGGGTTTTCTTGGCTGCAGTCTTTATGGAAGCAAATTACCAGGCCTTTCTTCTGTGGCACCGCTGGGTGGGTTCAAACTGTCAACCTTTAGGTTGGTAAAAACCAAAACCCATTGCCTTTAAGTTGATTCCAGTTCATAGCAACCCTATAGGACAGAGGAGAACTGCCCCATAGGGTTTCCAAGAAGCAGCTGGTGGATTTGAACTGCCGACATTTTGTTTAGCAGCCGAGCTCTTAACCACTGTGCCAGCAGGGCTCACTGTTTGCGCCCCCAGGGGCCTCGACCAATTACTAACACGGCTGTAGGTAACGTCGGCTGGGCCTAAAGGTGGCCTGGGAGAAGCCGGGAACATAATCTATTATGACCGGTGTTTCTCTGGGATAAAAACCCTGCACACAGCTGCCAGAGAATGTTCTGTGCCTGTTTTGGGGTGGGGATTCTAGAAGCTTAGGCCTAGAACGGGGAGGAGTACAGGAAAGGTGGAGAAAGTGCTGAGCGTCACAGTTATGAGCAAGGATTTCAGAAGAAGGTGGGCTGGATTGGCTCCATCCCAGCTGTGCCGCCTAGGCGCCTCCCCCTCTGAACCTCCCTTTCCCCATCTGGAGCGGGGCACCAACAGTCCTTGCCCCAGAGGTCCCCAGAAGTGTGCAAGGAGAACGTGTATAGGTGGCAAGTGGCGGGGGGTTGTGTGGAACATGGTGGGTGTGACCCAGTGGGACACCGCTGTGGCTCAGGGAACACTGTGGCGCCACCAGGACCACCTCCAGGGTCCCGCAAGCAGGCAGCACAGCCCTGAGGGTGAGGGTGGCTGTGGTGCCCCCAGACCTAACCCCAGGTTCCGAGGGCACCCGGCACGGCCCTGAGGGTGGGGGTGGTTGTGGCATCCCCCGGCCCAGCCCCGGGTCCCGCAGGCACCCGGCAGGCCCTGCGCAGGGCAGTACTCACTGATCTTGCAGGGTGGCATCACCTCCAGACACTCCTTGTGTGCCCCGACGCCACACTTGGTGCACAGATAGCCCTGGTAGAAGGTACCCCTGTGCCGGCAAACAGAGGGAAGTGGGGGTCAGGTTGGCCCCGAGCCCAGCGCCTCGCACCCTCAGCCCGGCATGCGGGGCCCAAGACTGCCAGCAGGCCCTCACATCCCTGCTGCTGTGGGCAGCCGCCTTGCTCCCGGCCCCTCGGACCTGGCTCGTCCTTCAAAGCCCCAGGCCTCCAGCCCTTCAGACCACTGCAGCCCACCCTTCCTTCCCACCTTCTCCAGGCTCACTCCACCGCCTGGCACAGGGGCTTTGGGCCCAGGGACCCTGCACTGCACCCAGAGTGCACCCACAGGGACAAGCCACCTCCCACCAGATCTGAACACCTGGGGTCCGCGGTGGGTCTGGTACGCGTTGGGTATCCCCCGCCCCCTTGGCTGGGTCAAGGTGGGGTCCGGTGGCAATGGTGACCCCTGTCTGGGGTGGTGCGGACAGGGCGGGCATGCAAGGCGCTCACCTGAGGAACATCTTGCAGGCTTTGCAGTTGGTGGTCTTGTCAAACGTGTACATCTGGAAGCTGTGGTGGTTGGCGTTGGCTTTGTCCGGCTTGATGTTTGACCTGAAAGATGGAAACAGCAGGAGCTGCGGCAGCTGAGCCCCTCTCGAATGTCCGGTTCCCTAAGGCTTCCTGCAGCCAGGCCACCCCAGAACCAGCCAGGGGCAGGACTCAGGCCTGGGTGGGGGGTCCGGGGGCCTGGGCAGGGGTCCGGGAGCCTGAGCTCAAAGCCAGCTCTGTCCCTGAAGCCCTGGGCGCCTCCTGGGGCCAACTCCCTGCAGGTGGAATGAGGGTCTGAGCAGAGGTTTTTGGATTATGTGCACTGGTATGAGAGAATGTTCTAGAGTGATGGCAATGTTCTGTATCTTGGGTGTGTGCAGGTGCGGGCATTTGTTAAAACTCAGCCAATGTACACTAAGATTTCTACACCTCATTGTACACAAGCTTGGGATTGAGCAACCTAAAGGAGCATTGCATCCTGAACTACACAGAGGCGTGAGCCGTTACACGTGGTCCACGCTGAAATACATCCAACGCCAGATGGCTCGGGGGCACGCTGGGCGATGCGCGGTAAGGCAAGGAGAGCGACCTGTGAGTGGTGGGACCTGAGGGTGAGGATACGGGTGTTTACCACACAATTCTTTCAACTTTGCCAAATGTCTGGTGTTTTCCAGAATAAAACGCTGGGGAATTTCCACCCACAGAAGCCTAGGGCAGATATGGGGACCTTGCACTCCCACGTCCAGCTCTGGTGTCCAGTGACTAGCCCTATCCATCCTGCACATCTGGGTGTCAGCCCTGATCCGCTGCTCTGGTGAGTGAGGCTCAGCCTCCAGAGAAATCTCCTGCCCTGGGCAGACTGGTTAACAGCTAAGACGGCACCACGATGGGGCTGGCGTCCCCAGGTGACAGAGCCCTACTGGAGAGCCCTCACGGCCCAGGTGTCTGGGCATTTGGACCCTGCCTCCCACTGCCCCGGTCTGAGAAGGTCTCCAGACACAGTCCAGCCTGTGGGCGCTGGGCGGACGGCCATCCGAGTACTCACATGGCCATCTCGAACTGCTCCATCCACTTCCGCTTCATGTCTTCTGTCTTGCAGAAAAACTGGAAGCCCTGCTTTCCTTGGAGGTGTATTAGATAGAAACCGTAGGACCACTGTGGGAGGAGACGGGAGACATGTCGGTCCTGTGTGCACGTTCCTGCGTGTGCCTGCTCGTGTGTGTGCATCGGTGTACAGACACACGCCCATGCCTGCGTGTGCACATGTTCTCAAGTGTGCATGTGTGTACATGCCCACGTGTGTGCTCTCACATGTGTGCACGCTTGTGCCCATGCCTGTACCCACGTACATGTTCTCATGTGTGTGCATGTGTATACAGATGCTCATGCCCACCTGCACATATGCATCATGTGTGTATACATGTGTAGGAAGGCACTCGTGCCTGTATGCACACACGTTCTCAAGTTTGCACACATGTGTGCATGTGTACATGCCTGCGTGTGTGCTGTCGTGTGCACTCATGCCCATGCCTGCATGCACTTTCTCCTGTGTGCATGTGTATAAATGCCTGCATGTGTGTGCTGTCATGTGTGCATGCATGCCCATGCCTGCATGCACACGTTCTCCTGTGTGCATGTGTGTGCATGTGTATACAGATACTCATGCACACGTGTTCGCAAGTGTGCATGCATGTGTGCATGCTCACATGTACAACAGTGCTCTCTCCTGTGTGCACTCGTGCCCATGCCTGTACACACATTCTCGTGTGTATGTGTGCACATGTATATAGACATCTGTGCCTACTGTGTACACACACGTGTATGTGCATGTGTACACTGCATGTGTGCCTATTCATCATGCTATTACATGCTTGTGTATGAACACATACATACTCATGCCTGCACATGTATGTGCTGCCATGTTTTCACATGTGTGCATGCATGTATATGTGTATATATGCAGTTGTGCCTGTGCCTTTATGTGTATGCACATGTGGGCACGCACATGCCTGTGTCTGTGTACACATATGCTTACGTATGCATACGTACGCACGTGTGCACAAGGCACTTATTTGTGCCTGCATGTGTATATGCACATGCGTGTGTATACATGTGCCTGTGCCTATGTGTGCATGCATGTTCTCCTGTGTGCGTATGTACATGCATGTGTAAGGGGGTGCAAACATTTGGGGGGACCCACCCCTCTAACAAGGTACCCTGGGGCCTCTATCCTCCCGCTCCAAGGTGGGCCCCACTCCGCCTGGGCCGTCTCTCAGGATGGAGCTGGGGCTGGGGGAGCGTCTGCAGAACTCCCCCAGGCTCCTCCCACGACGCCTGCCCACCCGCTTTCACTTCCTGTATCTGATGCTAAAAACCCCACTCCTCTGAAGTAAAAACAGCAAGAAAAAAAAACAGGCAGGGGAAGGTCATGGGCCTGGCGGGGCCTCAACCAAGCCGGCCCCCAGCTGACCCCTGCCCCCGAGCAGGCAGCCCGCCCTCGGCTACCCAGCACGGCTTTCAAAGTGAGTCCAGGAAGGAGAGTTTGGAAAGTATGAGCCCATTTGTATTGGAAAAGATGGAAGGAAAGAGGGAGTGGGGTGGGAGGGAGGGAGGGAGGGAGGGACAAGGGGAGAAGAGGCGAGGGGAGGAGGGAAGGAGGGAGGGAGATAAAAAAGGAAAACGATGACTTAGAGTCAAGATGCTCCTACAGACAAAACACCTGTCAGGACAGAGAACCACCTCTGATCCTTTCCCTCCACGCTGCAGGGTGGCTGGGGACGGGAGGAAGGCTGGGCTTTCGTTTTACACCCTTCTGTAATGGGCAACCTCTCATCGTGAACATGCATTACTTCTATAACTAAGAAAGACATGTAAGTAACCCCGGGGAGGAAGGAGACCCTGCCCTACTGGGGCTCTGGCTCCACACCCTGGACCCTGGCCCCACACCCTGGGGCTCTGGCCTCACACCCTAGGAGCTTGGCCTCACACCCTAGGCCCTGGCCCCACACCCTGGTGCTCTGGCCTCACACCCCGGGAGCCTGGCCCCACATCCCGGGAGCCTGGCCCCACACCCCAGGGGAGCCTGGCCCCACACTCTGGCTCTGGTGAGGGTGAAGCCTCAGGCCCTGCACTGAGGAGGCAGACACTGGGTGCTTACCATTTTCCCGTGAGACTAGGAAGCATGAGAGAGGGAAGGAAGGAGGGAGACGGTCATTAAGCAGGTTGGTCCAGCCTGGAGGCAGGCACCACAGGGGGAGTCCGGTGGCCCAGGCAGGGGAGCAATACCGCCCAGCACAAAGTGCCCCGGGGTGGGAGCAACACCGCCCAGCACAAAGTGCCCCGGGGTGGGAGCAACACCGCCCAGCACAAAGTGCCCCGGGGTGGGAGCAGCCCAGGGAATGGGCATTTCTCTGGGAGGGGGCAGGTGCCAGAGGCTGCGACTTAGGGAGAGGCCTCGGACCAATCTCCTGTTTTGGACATTAGGTTAGGCTAGGTCACCCAGATCGAGCACGCCGGGGCTGCACCCTGCACTGTCAGCTGAAGGCCAAGGACTGGGCTTTTAGCAAACTTGGCTTTGGCCCCAGCTCTTAGCACACAGCAGGTGCTCAAGTGCTGTGTGCTGAAGTCTCCACTGAACCCAGCGGCGGCTGGGGGAGCTCCGCCCCCAGCAGCCATGCCCCGCCCCCACAGCACGGTCCCGCCCCCACAGCACAGCCCTGCCCCAGCTGGACATCAGAGACTTTGACAGGCCACCGCCAGGCCCGAGTCCTCCTCCAAATCCGGGCTCTGCTGGGTGCAGGGCAGCATGGGCCAGGGTCCCAGCAGCCAGTCTTTTGCCTGCTGCTCACCAGCACCTCACACAGAGCAGAGGCTGGGCTCGGGGCTCTCTGCAGGGCCGGCTGCCCCTCACCCGCCCCCGGGCATCAGCGCTGACCACCCCTCGGTGGCACCTGGGGTCTGGGGGAAGGCGCCCCGCCCTGGCGGCGTGGCCCGCCTCAGACGGCGCGCTGTCACTCGGGAGTCCGGGCCCACCTTCTTGATGTCCTTGTTGTTCATTGGGTCGTCGGTCATCTTGTGGAAGAGCAGCTCGATGATCTCCTTCAGCTCGTAGCTGTAGCCCTTCCTCTTGCACACGATGACCACCTTGTCAAACAGGAACAAGTACCTGGCCGGACAGTGTGCCCAGGGCCTGTCAGCCGGCGCCCCGTGAGCTGCATTCTCGGCCACAGGAGAGCCGGCGACACCGGGGTCAGCAGGACTGAGCCTCTGACTACCGCCCGTGAACCCCGGGCTCGCCCCTTCCCCGACCACCGCCCGTGAACCCCGGGCTCGCCCCCTCCCAGACCACCGCCCGTGAACCCCGGGCTCGCCCCCTCCCCGACCACCGCCCGTGAACCCCGGCTCGCCCCCTCCCCGACC